AAATCAGTTTTCGAACAAAAGTTGAATATTTTTCATAATTACAGTTCTGCAATACCTCCCTCAATTAGCGAATTTAAAAAACTTAGAAGCCACAGTTTTCAATTTTTGGATAAAATTATTCCTCGGACGCCTCGAATCCCGAATTTAAAAAAGTCAAAAACCTCAGTTTTCGAACAAAAGTTGAATGACTTTGTTATAACTACATCTTTCCAATATCTCTCTCAATTAGCAAATTTAAACGTTAAAAACCTCAGTTTTTGAATAGAAGTTCAATTTTATCGATAAACTCATTCATCGAACGCCTCAGATATCGAATTTAAGGAAACCTCAGTTTTCGAATAGAAGTTCAAATGTTTCTGTAAACTCAGTTCTCAAATTATTTTTTTTAATCGCAACATTAAAAAATTTCAGAATTTTGAACTTTTCCACTATTAAAGTTTTATATTTCATGCGCAATTGAAATCCGTATCAAGAATTATATCATGCAAGTAACAAAGATATGATTAAATATTGGAATTGAAAAAGTAATTTAAAAAATCGTGTTCAAGTAATCACATTTAAAGTATCTAAAATACTTCAATAAACATTTCATATATTATTTTAAAAAAAAAAGTAAAAAAAGGTAAATAACAAATAATACCTAATGTATAAACACGGCTATAATCGTTACACTTGTTCCCTATTCAGTTAATATTTCAATGCGAAATCTGTTCTCCCATTTAGAACCAAACTGTTATTTGCTCAGTATAGATTTTCCATTATTCTCGTTAGCATTCCAGGAATATTACGTCTAGGGAAAGTCAACAGCGAATTGTAATGTTGCGTAACGCGGAGAAATGAATAATTTTATGCGGTATTCAGCGTCGATTCTGCATACATATGTAATAATGCACGGAGGGGATGCAAATAAAAAAGAGTAGAAAATATGGTAACAAAACGGAAATAAAGTAGAACATTTTAAATCAGGGCAAAACGTCGGATTCAGTCAAAAAGGAATAATGGAAAATGTCAATTCTGAAATATCGACGTAATTTTGCGTTCATGCGAATGTAAGGAAACGTTTCGATAAACCAAATATTGTAATCAAAATCTGAATATTGTACTTTTCCCATATAAGTATAGATTTAAATGTTATTATTTATACATTTCTGTAACAAAACTACGTACAATAAATATACATATTTATTAGTAATTAAATAAGATAAAAATGTCCATTGTATGTATATAAATATATAAGTAGTAAAAATGATATTTTTATTATTAAGATGTGAAATATATTAAGTTATTAAGAATTTGTCGAAAATGATTACTTTTTTTCATCAAAAGAACTTAAAGAACATATATTAATATTGAATGTTGACTTATTCCTATTAATATTATTTATTAAATAATTAAATAAACAACAAATTATAATTGAAATAATTACGTAAAAATAGTTAGTTTCTAAATTATCTTGTATAAACTTAATGTTTTCTTTATCCATGGTTTACATTTCTCTTCAAGAAACATGATAATTTCCACTTATCAAAGTTTTATTGCTTAGTTTTACCTTATTGCTTATTATTACTTATTAGTTATTAATGTAAAATAATTACAAAATTTCAATATACTCATATAACTTTGATCTTCAAACAACAATAACAATTTTTAAATACTCTAAATACAGTATAGGTGTAATTAAGTAAAACTCTACTCTAAATCTTTGAAAAATACGCTTTAGTAAACAAAACCAAAAATTCGTATTTTGAATCAATTTTCTGTTTTCTAACATATTCTTAAATTAAAAGAAAAACTGATAATTGAGATTTAATTTGCATTATTATGTAATTATATTAAAACTTAACTAAGTCATATTTTATAGCTCAGAATTATTGAAAATCTTTATTTTCAGAAAGATTAAAAAAAGTAAGTTTACTATATATTATACTAATTTTGCATTATTATCTAGTTATTCTATAATATAACTAAGTTTATGTGTATTTATATAAAATTATTAAAAAAAAAGGACAAAACTACTTTTCTTAGTAATTTTATATATTAATTGAAATTATGTTTTAATATTTACAAAAATATTGTTTGATTCAATAAATGTATTAAAATTATTATATTTTAGGAAAATCTATCGTTAAAAAAATCGAAATTATCTGTTTTCAGAAGTAATAGCAAAAGTAGGAATCAATATAATTTTAGTGAAGAAACAAAAGTTTTCAATAATTTATATTATTTTGTAAAATAAATTTTATTTTTGTCAAGAAAAAATTGTTTGATTCAACAAAATTGTTGTATTTCAGGAAACTTTTAGCATCAAAATATAAAAAATAACTACTACTTTATTAAAGAATTTAAAGATTTGATTAATTTATGTTATTTACTTATTAGCAAGAAAAGTAATTTTACCGGAGAAACCAAAACTTTGATAAAATTGTATTATATTATGTAATTATTTTGTAAATTAATTAACTTTATATTTTAGCTGTTACAAAAAAATTGTTTCATTAAAATATATACTTAAGTATCTATTTTCAATAGGAGTAACAAAAAATTGGATAATAAAATCGATCGACCGGAATTGAAATAAGCGTGCTTTCGTTCCATCACGTCGATTTTAATCTGCCCGCTTTGCACGCAGATGAAAATCGATGGACTTTTCAGAGACCTTAATTCACGTCAATTTGCTGATGAATTCCCATAAAAAAAGGAAACGCCGAGAGCAAAAAAAATCACATTTGAACAAAAAAAGCAAGAGTGCCATCACACGTATTAATAAACAAACCCTGACTCGTGTTACGCAGCGTGAGCAAATCGGAAATAGCCATCAACACCTACCTTTGATCCCTTTACAGCGGCGTCAGTTGTTTGCGGTGCGGCTTCAGTAGATGCTGTTTTCTCTTTGCCGGAGTTCTCATTACCACGTGACGATTGATCCATTGACGGACGTGACCTTTTAATCATCGCTCTTTTGGTCGTCGCACTCTCGCCGAAGGGTTGTGGGACCTTCGCGCCACCCTCGTATTGTCCCGTCACCACCACCACCTTCTTATCAACATCATCATTGCCACGTGGATAATCCGGTACAAAAACCGACGCAGCCTTGATTAATTGACCTTCCCCATTATTATTCGCCACCCCGGATTCCGAATAATGCATTCCAGCAACCTCCACATCATTTAAAATCTCATCTCGGAAATACAGTTCGTGGGATCTTTCATTTAACGCCTCCAAAGATTTATGATCAATTCCTTCGTCCTCAATTGAATCATCGCTATTCAGATTATTAATTCTGACCGGTATATTATTAAATATTTTCCAATTTCCATTCTTTCTCTCCAGTGAGATTTCCGGTCTTTCAATTGTAGTTTCCTTTGAATGAACGTATTTCTCTTTCCAGTTTTTGCTCCTCGAATCATCGTTCGTTGCCCTTAAATTACCTACGACCTTTAATAGATTAGTTTCGCTCCGGTTTTTGCTCAGCGAATTCGAATCATTTATTTTAATCCTACGACTTTCAACGTAGTTTTTAGCAGTAATGGATGATCCTGAATTTCTTGCAAGTTCTTCATTTATTTCAATCCTCTGAGCACCATCGTCAACGCCTGTATCATTTTCGAAAGTTTCATTGGTATTAATTATGTAATCTAAATTAGTTCCATTATTTAATTCTTCGTCCATCAATTCTTGATTTTCAGTAAAATTTTCACTTATTTCGTGAGATTTTTCAAAATTATTAGGAATATTTTCATTATCAAGAGTATTAAATTCAGTCCTATTACTGATTTCATTCAAATCGTCCATAACTTCTTGATTTTCAGTAGTATTTTCATATAGATTTTTATCAGTGCTAAGATATTTTCCAGATAATAATTTTGATCCTTGTAACTGTTTAACGTCATAATTACCATTAATATCATCATTAACAAACGTATTATTTTCAGAATATTCATTAACAATTATACTTTCATTAAAATCAGTAGAGTTCTTTCCAATTATATCGATAATCTTATCATTAGTTAAAAAAATCGTAGAGGCTTCAGTTGACTTATTTTCTATTCTAAAACCATCTTTTATAACAGTTGTCTTTACATTGTTTCTGTTAATCTTAACTATTGGATTAATTGTAGTAAATTGAGTAATGTTTGAGCTTTTAGTTTCGATAAAATTCAATTTTATTTCACTATAAGTAATATTAAATTTTGTGCGATTTACATTGGAATTTTCATCTACAAAATCTTTTTCTAATGGAGAATTTTCTGAATTTGAATAATTCCTTGTTAAATTTAAAAAATCTTCATTATTTTTTAAATTTATATCAGAAGAATCTATATATTTACTAACAGTTATGTTATCCTTCATTATTGGTCCAAGCTCATCAGAAATAATCAAGGATTTATTATCATTAAATATTTCTAAATTATTTTCTACATCATCCATTTCCTGAAAGTTTGATGGGTTTTCAGAATTATTTTCATGAATTATATCCAAATTAATACTAGAATTAAGTGGTAAGAAAGTATTATTTTGTAAATCAATTTCAACGGTTTCAGAATTTTGTGTTAAGTTATATATCTTCACTATGTTTATAGAACTTGTTTCAGTATTTAAACCTTCAGATTCAGTATGTTTTATAGATTGTTCAAGTTTTATAGATTCTTTAGGTTGTATAGATTCTGAGAATTCTTTATATTCTATAGATGGTGTAGAACCTTCAGGTCCTGTAGAATCTGTAAGTTGTATAGATTCTGTGGTTTCTGTGGATTGTGAATTTTTTTTGGATACTATAGGTTGCTTAAATTTTGTAGATTGTGTACTTCCTGTAGATTGTGTGGTTTCTATAGAAACTATAGATTCGTTAATATTATTCAATATTGGTCCAAAATCCATTTGAAGCTCAAATTCCTGATGAGAAATCCTAGAAGATCCGTTCAAATTTAAATTTTCCAAAATGTTCTTGGAATCATCGTTTTCCTCTAAATTCAATCCAGTATCATTTCCATTGTGCAATTCTTGATTTTCCGAGGAGATTAATTTATTTTCACTAATTGTGAAATTTTTCAGATTTCTTTCAATATTTTCGTTTCTAGTTGTTAAATTGATTGATGAATTAGTTTCCAGTTCTTGATTTAAAGAATTATTTGGGGATTTTAAGGTAATTTCAATTGATTTGTTATCCATGATATTGTTAACTTCTTGATTACTCAATGAATTATCATCTAAATCCAAAGTATAATTTCCATGTGAAACTCTTTCATATCTATTGATGACCTTCGAACCACCTGCTGGATGATCCAACGATTTAGTATAAGCTACATCCTCATCGTAATCCTTTTCGGCGACTTTGAGTAAAACGTCTCTAATATTTTCAATTTCTCTGCTCTCCAGATCAAATTTCGAATAATTTGTCACAATTGGAATGGGAGGATCAATCGAGGTTGCTTCTGAAGAATCGTCCTGCCTCCACCAAGTAGCGTTTGAATCATGTGCTCTCGTTCCATGCAATCCGGGGGAATCAGCTTTTGTCGGCTTCGCAGAAGTCAAATGGGCAGAAATTCCATTTCCATTCCCGCCCATGAAGTTGATGGAAAGCACTGCAGCAAAGTGCAGGGCAACGATTGCCGATAGCAGCGCAAATCTGGTCATAGCTTAATGCATGCCAGAGCTTCCTGAAACACAAAGAAAACCGTTAATTAAATATGAATTATGGAAACGGATGAGGAATGGGCTTATTTGAATACTTTGCAGGATTATTAATGTCTGCAGGATAGTTAATATTGCAAGGATAGTTTACGCTGTAAGAGAGTTAATGTTGCAGGAAGGTTTCGGATCTTAGGATCGATGAATTTTGTAAGGTAAGGAAGTTTGGAACGTCGGAAACTAGGAAATAACGTAATTAGTGAGACAGGTGAGACGCTTTGTAGCTCGAGAAGAGTAGTTGCTTTTTGCATGTAAATTGGCTCTTTTCACAATTGTTATTCAAAATTCAGTTTTTATAAAAATAAAATTGGATTTTTACTTGTAATTTTACATTGAATGTTTGTATTGTGGTAGAAATATGAACGCAAATTGAAATTTTATTATCAAAAGTAATTAATTTTTGTTGATTAAATCGGTGTTACATCAGAGTATCCAATTCGCCTTTTTTGTATTTGGTTTTAATTAATGTTGTTTACCACATGCCGATTACCAAATTAAAGAGTATTTTTAATTAAGTGAATATTGATTAAAAATATTTTTTTTAATTAGAAGCTTTATTTTCTATAAATATATTATAAAATATTCAACTAAAAGAATTAGTAGTAAAACTATTTGTTAATCAAAATTTGTAATTTACATTGAAATATCAATATTCTAATTATTTGCTATAGAAAATGCTAATGAAATTGAGTGAAACGTTTTATAATTTTAGTTTAATTAATTAATTTGAATATAATTACTTAACTTATAACTGTAAGAAATTATACTTCTAGTTTACTAATACTAAAAAAAAAATACGAAAGTGTTTGTATAATCTATAGTAGTGAATATATTGTATAATTCATCATGTAAAATTTTCTAATAATCTAGTATTTAATTTAAAATGTGATGTGATTATATTTCATTATTTTTATAGAAATTTTTGCATTTCTAAAAATAATAAATAGAGATACAAAATATGAGAAATAAAAGATATTTTTCGTTTGTTAATTGTTTATATATTAGGGAATATTAATTAATTAAAATACTTACTAATATAAGTGAAATTTGAGGCCAAATATTTGTACTTCCATGAAAAGCTGACAAGCAAATTTCAGCCCCCTTTTCAAAAACGTACGTATCAGAGGTATATTTAAGTACTGCTTGAACTTCCCTCCTAAATCAACAACGAACAGTATTTTATTTCTGTGCTCATTTCAAAATATGCAATTATTGAATATGCAAACAAATTATCTACAATATACAAATTTTTAGTAGAAATAATTAAAAATTTAACCTGACATTATCACACTTATAACAAATTAATATTAATTACAAAAAAAATATTTTGCATCTCCAATATTTTTATTTTAATCAAAGATAAAAAAAATCGTATAATTTGTATCTATTTTTTGTAAAATTAACAAAAAAACATTTAATTTAAAATTAGGAAGTTCAAATTAAGATAAATTATGAAAAATCATTAAGAAATGTCTAATATTATAGTAAAAAAGATTTGTACTTATTTTTTCTCTTTAAATAAAACTAAATGTTAACTACTTTTTTTTTCATTTTGTTCAAAGATCAAATTTCGTGTAATATGTCTAGATTTATTTTCAAAATGAACAAAAAATGATTGATTTAAATTAAGAAGTTCAAAATAGCATAAAACTAAAAATTAAACAACGCTAATTGGTGATAAATCTTGAAACCAGTTATATCATTCATCAATGTTGTTTAACTTTCAAATATTCGCATTAAGTAAAAATTGAAGATGAAATGGAAATTATTTTCGTTACTTACTTAATTTACATAATTACTCGATAAATACTTATACTAATTATATCATCGAATATGCAAATTAATGAAAAAATACGCACTTTACAATGAGCTTACTTGAATATCTGTATTATTTAGAGTTTTTATGTTATTAACTGTTGAAATGAAACCTGCAGTATTTTCACGTTTTAACTAATTGCTCCATAACCACTTGAACCAAATACATCAACTTATGTAAATTGTAATGAACATATTCGTCGTTCATTAAAAAGAATCCGGCTAATTAGAACAACAACAAAAAGATGGTATTGATCCTGGATTACGGTTCTGAGGAATAAACGTTTCCGATGGCAAATGTGTACGGACGTGTGTTATATAATAAAAGGAGCGTTGCACGCTGAAGCTCATAAAGAAAATCGCAATGAAAAGCGGCGACTTCTCCCGTCTGCAGTTACTTATAAACGGCATCAAAGTTTTGCTGAAGTAAAACTCGCTCCGCAGCAATACATTCGTCTGGGATGATGCAGAGAGAAGGCGAAATAATAATAAAAAAAAGAGAGAAGAATAAAAAAATATATAGAAGAAGGACCGAAATAAAAGAAGAAGGACGAATAAAACTCGATGATTTACAATGAACTGCCTTTGCAGCTTCGACGCGCAATTACGACCCTCGGATCCTTCTTGGGTCGTTCGATTCCTTCGTTCCTAGTTCTCAAGTAAAATAAACAAGGTATTCGTCAATAATTCATAAATTTTTGGGTCGAAAGTTTATCGAGGTTTTCCGCCAACTGACGTTTTGGCGCCATTAATCTTTGTTTGACCGACTTTTAATACTATGATAGTCATTTATAAGAAAACATTAACTTTATACTTATCTCTAGTCTATTTAAATGCTGTCAAAATTTGGTGAATTCTTCTAAAAAGTTGAGAGAAATTTTCCAAATCACGTCCAAATACTCGAAAACTGAAAAAGTTTTTATGTATATTATAATTATATAAAAATCGTTCTTCAATTATGTATTTCTTGATACATAACCGAGACATGAAATTTTTTCTTTTTCAAATTTTATATAATTACTCGAAAGATATTTATACAAATTATATATGCATATTAATTCCATGCATTTACAATCAGCGTAATTGCATTTTTGTGTTATTTAGCGTTTTTATGTTATAATCTTAATACTTTCACGTATTAACTAATTGCTCCATACCTATTTAAACCAAAAACATTCGGTTAAATAAATATTAAAGCAAAAAATATAGCCTTTACAATATACCTACTATTATATTTGCCCTGTTTACAGTTTTATTGTAATAAATTAAGCACTTTTATGAAAATTGTGTATCTATACATTTTTATGTAACTACATTAAAATTTCATAATTATTGATAATTAGTTACAAATGAACTTTCTGAGTTGCATATTTTGATACAAAGGTCAATAAATAATAAATTTTCTATTTATGTAATTTTTTTTAAGATTTCTAGAAATTTATATATATTCATTTTTATTGTTTTATTTTTCAATTTTTTAAATTTTCTTAAATCTCTTATTTCACATCTGCTAATAAAAAAAATAATTACGTGGTATTAATTAATAACTAAAATAATTATTTATTAGAATAATTTAACTTAATAACCAATAATGTGCACAACATCAGTAAATATTCAAATTAAGGATAAACCTATTGCGTTTCACATAAACCTACTTTTAGATATATGAATTCTTTCATTTTTCTGCTACAAGTTGATAAATTTCAACATTTTTTCTAATTACTCATTAATTATATTTGCTAATTAAAATAATGATTATTCAAACTAAAAAGAGAATTATGATCTTTGTAACTGTCAAAGTGATATATTTAATTAATTAATTAATAAATCTGTGACTGATCCACAAAATAATAATTTATTTATTAAAAAACAAATAAATGCATATTACCTCAGATTTAAAATGATCAATAAACGCGTCGCTGAATTACAATGCTCAACTTTTGCCTCTTTTGCCTTTTTTGCTCTATTTTTAGTAAATTATTACGCAGCTTTTAGTACGATTCGATAATTTACGTTCAAATCTATGTCACATCGAACAGTTTTTCTCATCCCATATTCATTTATTTCATCTATATTTTATATTTAATTACCATGCTCATATACAACTGATAAAATTAACACAAAAATATAAAATATTTATCTTCATAAACACAATATTTTCAGAAATAATTATATGCTAGTATTCAGAAAATAACTAGAGAAATTATTATAATCTAGAAAATATAAATCTGTTAATATGAACAGACGTATTGCTAATATGGTCATACAACGTTTCGATTAAAAGAGTTAAACCATGTAAATCTTCGTTAATCGAGGTAAAGTCCATAACTAACGCCCAGACTAAGATATAATGTAAACAATATTACTATACTTTCTATAATAATGTTAAGATTACATCTGGTAACAAAGTCTTGATATAACAAAATTCATAATTTCAATTATGTAAAAATATGAAAATTCTGTAAAAACTTTCATTTAACTTATATACAAACGTATTGCTATTATGGTCATAATATTGTTATTACTTCAAAGAAGAAAGTTCCGCGTAACAAAGTTAAATAATGTATATCTTCGTTAATCGAGGTAAAGTCGATAACCCACGCCCAGAATGAGGTATAATAATATTAATATATCTTCTGGTAATAAAGTCTTTCTATAACGAAATTTGTAATTACAATTACGTAGAAATAAGAAAATTTTAAATTCAACTTTGTTGTTAAAATCTGTCTTTTATCAAGTGTATTGCTATTATGATGATAATACTTGTTACCACAAAGAACAATCTTTGCTTAATAGAGTTAAATTATGTTAATGTTTGTTAATCGAGATATAGTCCATAACTTAAGCTCGGAATGAGATAAAAATTATAACATAATAAGGCAGAAGTAATATTAACATACCTATTGTTATAATTATATACAAAATATACTTATAATAAAAAAATACGTTTAGAAAAAGTTATATCTCATATATCATCGTTAATCGAGGTATAACTGTAAAGTATAACAGACGACCGGAAAGATGAGACGAAATTTATTGCATAATAAAAGCAAGTATAGTGGACATGACTGCTGAGCTTTTGCAGACGAGGAAAGGGTTTAAGGACCTATTCTTCATCTCTTCTTTCTGCTAGTTTATTTGTTGCTTTCT